AAAAAAGCAGAAAAATGCCGAGTGGTATTTCGCTATCACAGATCTCCGACTCGACAGAACGGCCCCCCTTTAGGGCCTTTTTCTGAAACAAACTTTTCAGGAATTCAGCGGCTGAACTCGGGAAAAACACCTGCGATTTGGCCGCGGTTTGCAGCTGAAATTCGCCTGGAGTTAAAGTGTGCCCTTTTCTGAGTACTGTAGCGGTCAGAAATCAGGGATTTGGGCAGGCTAGCGGAGTGAATTTGGGGAAATGGCTTGGCGAATATGTTGGAATTTTGAAGGTCTGGATTTCCTAGAGAAACTGGGTTTTTTTGAGTGGCACTGTATTTTTACAATTGGGCAAGCTATCAAGGGAAATTTGCGGAAATTTCGTGTCCTAAATGGCTAGGAGAAAATTTTGAGGGGTACTGTAGCGTCAGATCAGAGTTTTTCGAGCAGAGGAAATTTGCGAAATTGTCGTGCGATCAAAACAGCCAAATTGCGAAGGTCAATGGTCCCAATTTCCGGCGTAATTTTTGGCGAAAGCGTAAATTAGACACAAAATAAAATTCACAAAAAATGCAAGAAGCGCCGTAATCAGTACTCTAACGGAAATGAGGCCACAAGTAAAATGACCTAAAAAGCCAAAACTACCGTAATAATTACTCCCGCGGAATTCCGGGTAAATGATCAATTTGTCAGTCATGATGAGCATGAGCCGCTGCTCCTTCTCAAAAAATCCCGAACCCACAGCGCCCCCATAATTTTTTGATTATTTTGGTGAGCAGAGACGCTTGGGGAGAGGGAGGGATGCTTTGCATAGCGAGCCCTTTTTGTTGATCACCTTCGTCGAATGACGCCGATTTCCCAAGAAATAAAGCCGACTCCAACGGATTTTAACGGGCAAGAATCATTCTGTCTGAATTTTTCGTTTTTTATAAGCTCTATTTGACGTGCGAAGAAAGGAAAAGAAAAATTAATTCTAATAAGGAAAAATTGAAAAATTGGGTCTGACGTGGGGTTTCGAAAATGCGTATCAGAATACGGTAGGGTCAATCGATGACGCAATGGAATTTTCTAAAATTTGGTGATGGGTGTTGGTGAAACCACCCTAAAGAATCGCCGGTATTCCGCAGTTTCCGAAAGAAACTCTGCTAGCCTGCCCTTTCCTAAAGAACCTCTGCTAGCCTGCGCTTTCCTAAAGAATATCTGTTAGCCTGCCCTTTCCTAAAGAACCTCTGCTAGCCTGCGCTTTCCTAAAGAATATCTGTTAGCCTACCCCTTCCTAAAGAATCTCTGCTAGCCTGCCCTTTCCTAAAGAATCTCTGCTAGCCTGCCCTTTCCTAAAGAATCTCTGTTAGCCTGCCCTTTCCTAAAGAACCTCTGCTAGCCTGCGCTTTCCTAAAGAATATCTGTTAGCCTACCCCTTCCTAAAGAATCTCTGCTAGCCTGCCCTTTCCTAAAGAATCCATGCCAAGTGGAAGAAATTAGAAAGGTGAAATGTTAAGATCATCATTGAAAAATTTGCATAAAAAATAATTGAGTTGCGTGTGTCCCGGGAGCAGGAAAATTTATAGCTTTGATTTGCCCGTCCCTGCAAACGTAGGTGAACTCAAGAATTTTGAAAACATTAGAAAAATTTGGAAACATTGTGAAATTCTGAAGGTTCGAGCGAATTTTCAGGGAATGACAGGGTGAAGGTTGTGAAGTGATTGAAAGTTGTGTGGGGCTTGGAATAATACGGCCGCGACGCTCCCTCTTATCAGTCAGAAGACGAGAATTTTTCCGGGCCGCCAAAAGCCACAAATAATTTTTTGGGGAGAAGGGGGATGGGTTTTAATGGGAATTTGAGGGGGAATGGGTGACGCTTTTCGGGAGGGTTAAGCCTATTGTCGAGATGATCTCTTCACCCCACTCACACACCTTCAACTTCATGGTGATGTCAGGCTATCAAACACAGAAAATGATGAAAGATGGCGTGACGAATTCCGGAATTCGGAGCCTTCCGGAAAATGAGTCGCCGATTCCGGGTGAGTACTATGAACGCTAGGGTGTGTGGAGTACTGTGACGTAGTCGTTGTGCTTTCGAATAGCATCAAATCCGGCTGATAAATCCCGATTTGGCTAAAAAATCGCAAAACTTGTAACTGGAACCGATTCCGGGTGAGTACTATGGAGATTCGGGTGTCGAGGGTACTGTAACGCACTGTAGCGCTTTGGAATACCATAAAAATGAGGCTAAAAAAGAAAAATTTGGATTTTTCTCAAATGGTCTCTGCTAGCCAGCTCCTAAACGATCTATGGATGTCTGCCCATCCTCAAGAATAGCTGCTAGTGCTTTTCCTAAAGAACCTCTGCTACCGAGCCCCTTCCTAAAAAATCTCGGCTAGCCCGCCGTTTCCTAAAGAATCTCTGCTTGGGTCTCCTTTCCTAAAGAGTCTCGGCTAGCCAGCCTTTCCTAAGAAGGCTCGGCTAGCTTGCCCTTTCAAAATAAGCTCTGTAATCCCGCTTCCTAAAGAATCTCTGCTAGCTAGCCTCTCGCGATTTGGCTGCAAATTTCCCAAATTACCTCTGCCAGCCTGCACTTTTTCTCTCTCCCCCCAACCAGGTGACACTACGCTACGCAACCAACTACGCACGTACACCCCGTGATCTTTGTGCGGGAAATCTGCTAAAAACATAAAATGGAATTCTCCATAACCCGCCAGCTTATCCCCACCCACTACACCTCCCTCCAATAACAAAAAAACCGGCCCAACCATTATGAATTATTCACCCGATAAAGCGCCAAATAAAAAGTTGACCCGAAGCTGCTGGGGGCCAAAAAAAATGGAAAAAATAATTCCGAAAGTCTGGGGTGCCCAATTTTGAGGGGCTGGGCCCCGAGGAAATGGGAAGTGGTGGGGTGTCTTTTGGAATGGAATGGAATTCGTTAATTAGCTGGGGGTCCATTTTTCGGTCCAAAAAGAAAGGCCAACCCGACCCGTTTCGGGAGTAAAATTTGAACTTTTGCGAGGCTAGAATTGCAAAAATTGTATCCATGTATTTTTATGCTGTGATATCCAGCTTGGGCCTTTTAAAGGCAGTGCGACAGCTCGAATTTTTAAGTCTGAAATTACAGGCAAACCGGGTAGCTTACCGAAAAACCCATGGATTTGAAGCTTTTCTGTCCCTTTAAATCAAACAGCTCGACGGCCGATCAGCTTTAAAGGGAGGGTGACCGCCAAAAAAAACCGATTTTTGGGGGGCGGTAGTTGAAAGAAATATTCGTTTTCGCTAGGCTTTGACAAGTTATGGATTTCTAAACTTTTCTGTTTCTTTAAGAAGCAAAAATCGATGATCTCTGAACTTTGAAGCAGCTTGACAGCTAGAAAATCGTCATCGAATTGCGAAAAGCTTGTCACGTTCCCTTTTAAAACCATGGATTTGAGTTGCCGGTGCCTTTAAAAGCAGCGTGCAGCCGCATCTGTCTACACCACCTGTCACGCTCCCTTTAAACCGATGGATTTTGACTTCGCGGGCCCTTTAAAGGGAGCGTGACAACTAGAAAAGGAGCAGGGGATTTTTAAAAAGCAGAAAATCGAATCAGCAGCGATTTTTGAGAAGCTAAGACAAGCGGAAAGACAAAATCCACAAATTTCAATTTCGGTAGAATTTGGCTTGCCAGCTCCTTTAAAGGGAGCGTAACAGCAAATATAGCAGCCTGAACCCTCTCAAAAATCGCGTTCTCTTACAAGTGGTGATTCAGGCGGGGCTCACAAACTTGCTAGTTCCTAAAAACGCGTTGTGACGCGGTGTTGTGAGTATTGTAGCGTTGTGCAGGCCGGGGTCAGAAAATATAACCCGAGTGGTGGTCATTAAAGCTTATCATATGTACGGGGCTTTCGTCATCGGAAAGGTTGTTTGGATGGCATGACCGGATGTGTCGAGTCCTTTGAAAACCCCGAAATGGAAAGTTTGGTTCCTAAGGAATCTTTTCTAGCCTGCTTTCTTAAAGGGATACCGACGGCATTGATCGATCACCCCGGGTCGTCTTTTGGCACGCAGAGAGCGCGCCCAGGGGCGAGACGCAGAGGCATTTTCTTTCCCTCGCGTCACCGATTAGTTATGCGGTCGTTATCCCTTTAAAGAATCTCTGCTAGCTTGCCGGTTTCTAGGAAGTCCTGCAAGTTGCCATTTCCTCAGGAATCCCTGCTAGTCTGCCTTTTCCTAAAGAATCTCTGCTAGCCTACCCTTTTCTCTAGTATCTCGTCTAGCCTGCCGTTTCCCAAGGGATCTCAGCTAGATTGTCATCCTCTGTCAATCGAGTACGCAACAAAATGCGTGAAACATCATGCTTTTTCCACAATACATGACACCTAATAGCTGGGCAGGCAAGGTAGTTTTCCTCCCAAAGAGTCGCGAAATAATCTCTGCCAGCCGGCGAATCTCTAGGCAACGCTGCTAGCTTGCCGTTTCCTAAAGAACCGCTGCTAGCATGCCATCTTCTGTCAATCGATTACGCAAGGAAATTAATCGGAATAAAGTAATTTGTCGTATCAGAATAAGATAGCTTTTTCAAAGGAATCTCTGCCAGCTTGCTTTTCCTAGGTGATCTCTGCTAGCTCACCTTCTCTCAAGAATCACCGCTGGCCTCCTTCTTCCTACAGAATCTCCGCTAGCATGCCATCCTGGGTCAATCGATTACGACATCACATTCGTCTGCATAAAATGTGTATCATCGTCTGTCCTTCCTATATGATGCCATTTCCACCATACACCTCCTGACACCTAATAGCAACTCTTTTATTTCCACAAAAAAGAGAGGGCTTTGCTTGGGTTGGTGGGGACAGCGAGGCCAAAGTTTTGTAAGAATTTTTGGTGGGCATCAGATTGGAGTGATGGGGCGAGAGAGCGAGAGAAGTAGAGAGCACGAGAGATAATTCGGGGGGAGTAGTAGTGACCTGTTGCTGAAAGGTGGATACGGTACAGTAGAGGAGGGCACGGAATAGCAGGGAAATAGGGGGAAGGGGGGAGGTTTAATAGCCGGACAGCTCCTGGAAGGTCTGGTCGAGCTCCTCGGAGATGTTCTTGTACCTGTCCTTCTCGTGCACCAGCTCGTCTGAAAATCGATGGTAATATTTTAATTCGAGATTTTTATATATAGTTAATAGCTATATATGCAAATTAATAAACATTAAAACTTTTGTATTAGTATATTTAATTAATATTATTTTATCTATACAATTATTTATGGTATTTTTTATTTTGTTGTTTTTTAGTCATGTTAATAATTAATTATTTAATAGTTCGATATAAAGATTAATAAACGTTACAAAATTAATGAATTAGAATATAATATATTACATTATTTTGCATATACAAATTATTAAACGCTAAAATCGTTTGCGTTTTGTAGTCTAAAACATTGAATATCCAGTTCTTTATTGCTGTTAAAATATTATACTGTAAATTTTGTTAATTTGCATGTTTTAAAATATCAAATCATTCGATTTTTAGAATCAATAAAGTTTAGAATAAATATTTACTTATTTCAGACCCAGTCAGCTGATTTTTTCAAGTCGAAAAAGCGCTTAAAAATTTTTATGTAATATTGCTAATTTTATTTTGGCTTAATTCAGTTGTATATTTTTAGAAATGGCAATAGATTTAGATCTGACAAATCAAAACGTAAAGGCATAGAAAAATTAAAAACCTCGAATTTAACCAATTTTCGTCGTTTTTCGGAATTTTCAGTAAAATTGCATGAAATTAGCATGAGGGGAACGTCCACGAATATTTTTAAGAACTGGAAATAATAAGCTAAACTTCAAAAATGTTCACATTTTTATCCCGTAATAATCTTTATTATATTTTTGTGTTATTTTGAATGCACATTCCCTTTCACACCATGCCGTTTTATAAAATTCACACAATTCTTATTATTTATTAAAATTAATAATGTTGTTTTTATTCGCACAGTTCACAGGAGAGGGGGGGGGGCAAATCACATAAAATGGTATAGTAAACGGGAATAGTCTTAAAGTATCCAAATTTACATGCATAATGCACACACGCGCGGAATAAGTAGTCGAACGGAATCGAAAAAGAGGAGGGGAGGAGAGAGGAGTAGGAGGATCGGGGAAAAGGGTTTTACTAGTGTGGCCGCTACCGGAATTGCTTGGAATATTTTAGGTTACTGTAGCTTAGGCTTGGACTTAGGCTTGGCTTAGGCTTAGCTTAAGCTTTGCTTAGGCTTAATCCTTAGGCTTAAGCCTGGCTTAGACTTGGGCTTTGCTTAGGCTTTGCTTAGGCTTTGCTTAGGCTTTGCTTAGGCTTTGCTTAGGCTTTGCTTAGGCGTAGGCTTAACCCAGCTACAGTAACCCTGTGAAGAGAATAGTCTTTTCTATATATTGCGCATCAAAAAGGTAGACAATTTTTGAAATGCGAGAGAGAGACGAGAGAGTGTGAGGGAAATCGAGAGAGAGAGAAAAACAGAAATTTTGAGCAACAAAAAGCTTTCAAATCTTTGTTTTTAAGGCAAATTAAACTCCATTCAGCTCGGTGAGCATTTTGTCGAGCTCGTCCTGCAGCGCCCGGGCCTTTTGATCGCTGTTGTCCTTGGCATCTGTGCGGGGGTTACGGTAATTCGGATGCAAATTAGGTTTTGGGGGTGCATGCGTTGCAGGCGTGTGACAGACAGACAGACACACACAAATACGCATGCCATGCAGACATACATCTCTCTCTTTTTGTGCTCTTTACGATCCCTGGATCTCCTGGACGGTCTGCTCGATTTCTTCGGTCAGATTGCGGACACGCTCCTTCTCCACGAGAAGCTCATCTGGACACACGGATACGGTGGGGACGGACAAGGAATGGGACGGAACAGACGGACAGGGACGAGACGACATAGCAAAGATTCTTCAGGAATCACCGCTTAGGCTTAGGATTATCCTTGGGCTTTGGCCTACGCCTAGGCTTGGGCTTGACTTTGGCTTACGCTTAACCTTAGGAAGCATTAGGCTTGGGCTTAGGTTCAAACTTGGTTTCGGCTTCAGTTTTGGCTTAGGCTTAGCTTTTGCTAGGGCCGCATGGCAAAGCTTCCTAGAGAATTTTTTCGTAAGGCAATCCAGCGAAGATTCTTTAGGAATTTTTGTTGTTTTTAAAGTTTTAAACAAAGTAAAGTTCCCTAGTGAAGTTTTTAAAGCCGATGAGCCTGGTGAGCTACCAAAGATTCCCGGAGAATTTTTCAACAAGGCAAGCCAGCCGAGATTCCTTAGGAATTTTGCCGTTTTGGACATTTTCCTCGAATTTTCTGCCTTCAACGGCCCTTTAAAAACTGTAAAAACAGGTTGACTACACGTGACAACAGTGGACACTTTTCGTTGGGTGGTGCAAACGGACGGACAACGAGACGGACAACACAAAAAAGCAAAAAGCGTGTGAAGGTGGAAGGGTTTCCCAAAATGACAAAAATTAAATAATTAATTTTTCAACTACCGTAACCCTTCCACCCGGACTGTAAGGAGTATGGTAACGTACCCTCGAGCCGGTCGACCTCCTTCTGCAGCTTCTGCACGGAGCGCTCGGCGAACTCGGCGCGAGACTCGGCCTAAAATATTCTATTTAGTTTTCGTCGTGCAATGATGACCGTACGACATTGTGCAAATTACAGTTGACAAAAGTAGAAAAACAGCTACAAAACGGTCTGCTGTAGTGCGTTGCAGTACCAGTTACAGTACTCCGAATTACTACAAGTTACAGACAAAATCGGACTACGGTAGTACGCTACGGTACTAATTACAGTACTCAGCACATTTACAAATACAGAAAAAATACAAATCATGCGAACCTCCTTCAGCCTGGAGCTGAGGGCGCGGATCTGCTCCTCGTAGGAGTCTTCCCTTTGGAGGGCCTTCTCCTCCGACACTTCCAACGACTTCAGGTTGTTACCGACGACACGGAGCTCCTCCTCCAGCTCGACGATCTTGCTGAAAACGGACGACACGTTAATGAGGGCATGCAAACAGTTTCAAAACAACAGGAAAGCTGGATTTTTTGGGTTTCTAGTCCCTTTAAAACGATACTTTAGGTTTTTAATATAGATGTTTCCAATTTCCTAGCTATCACGCTCCCTTTAAAACGATGTTGGACCGGATCTGCTGGAAAACGGATTTTTGCCGATATATTAGCTGCCAGCACGACGACACGATGGTCTAATTGACGACTACTACAATACGCTTCAATTTACAACGGCTACACGCCGCTCCACTTGACGACGGCTACGAGATGCAACAAATGACGATAAGTACGAGAGGTTCCTTTTGACGACGAGTACACGACGCTCCTCTTGGCGACGACTACGAGATGATCCTCTTGACAACGGCTACACGATGCTCCTAATGACGACCACGACCGGGATTACGGTACCCGACTACACGATACAACGGCGACGAGACCTCATTAAGCCGCGCGGCCAATCCATCGCAATGTCGCAGCAGGGCTTCTTCAACCTCGCACTGTCTCTCTTCTGCCCCTTCTCTCGTTTTGAGGGTGGATGTGAGAGCGCGTAGATCGAGTGCCATCTCTTGTCGTCGTCTAGGGGGTACGGTAGAGGGGGGCAGGGTATAGGGAAGTTCGGAATTTCGATTTTGTCATATTAACTACGAATTTTGTGGCGCGAATTTTGGTTTTAGCAGATATACCAGTGTTGGCGTTTGCGCATTAATATCAGGTTGGACCGAAAGTAATTACAATTTTTCGGACGCAAAAAATTTATGGAAGCAGCCATCCTATCTTTGCCATATTTTAGCATGATTAAGGGTCAAGTATGAACTTCTTGCACGCCCGATTTCAACTTCCCTCTTTTGCTACTTTTGAAGTTATGAGGCAAAGACCCTGCACGTTGTAATTTTCGCTCATTTTAGGTTTCGTAAAAATGTTGTCCACCGATGAGGCCACTGCCACGTGAATAATTAATAGCAGATAGAGCAGCAGTAGTACTATAAAATGTATCGAACAAAATTTGAATAGGTGGCCTCATACTTTTTCTGGAACGTTTTAGAAAGATGTCAAATTGGGGGTTTCGGGCCCCAAAATAACAAATCCATTCGTCGGCCGTTTTCTCCGATTTTGGTGGCTAACTTTTTAAGAATTTTTTAGCGATATGTAGCTTGGTTCACACTGTTTCAAACGCGTATATTGCCTAGGGACAAATCTTTTATAACGGGCCGCAGAAGAGCCTAAACCCAGATTTTCCTACACAATTTTGTTTTTGTATTCTCAAACTCAACTAATGGCTTTGGGGCAATGATAATTGGAGTACTTTATTTACTGTTGATGTGTAATTGCCGTGTTTTGTCGAAAAAATTTGGTCACCAAAGTTTTAAGAATAATAAGCGAAATCTAATGACGGTGCCAGATCCCGTGTCGGTTACTCGACGCTACATTAGGTTGAAAAACTTTTCCCGTAAAAGCAGGACGGCTTGATAAATGGTGTCGTCACAGTGTTCGCAATTAAATGTTTTTCAAAATAGGTGGAGCGCTTCTAGATTGGCGGTCCTAGTTGAATTGATAAGTCCCTTTTCATCAAACTCATCCCGAATCGGGATTTTGTTCTATACCAAAGGCAATAACAACAAGCTCTACAGTTGTTTGGCGAATCTGGCGCCGTAGCTTGAAAGATATGATACTGGCACTATAAACCGCTGGTTATGCTGGGAGGATTCTGACTTTAGAAATTTTCATAAGGCTCGAAGAGCAGAGGGCTCGCGAATGCCGCCGCGTCGGGTCGACCTGTGTCTCAGGGAGAACCGGTCATAGAAAAATAAATAAAAGCTGAATCCGTTAAATATTTTTTGTGCTATAGTAGCATCTTAGACTGAACTATTGGTGCAAAAATCTCGGCGGCCGGGTGGTAAACATTTTTACAAAACCGGCTTGAAGATCGATTGTAAAGACTTTCGGTCCAGCCTGATAGATGCGAAAAATTTAGGTACGTATTTGCCGGGCCCTTTAAAAGTGGCTAGCATGCGAAAAAATGTGGTAAAACTGCTTAAAATTCGCGCCTTAATGGCTAAAAATTCAACCACAGACTCCAGACGAATAATCGATTTTTATAACTCACTAAATGCGTATTAATGATACCCACCAAAACCCCTTTTTTACACTCCAGCCCACTTAGATTAGTGAAAAACGCTTAAACTCGCAGAAAACTACATAAATTTTCTGTTATAAAACATGAAAAACTGAGAGAATTAGCGACGCCAGACGGTAGATCATCATTCCCAAGTAGACGAACAAGAAGACGAAGATGGACAAGACGACCGGACGCTGAGGGCTGACCTCCTTGAGCTTCTCCTCAATTTGGACGACGAGCTCCTGGAACTGTTGCTCCTTCTCGAGGGCTCGCTCCTCGTTCATCTCCAGCGACTTGAGGTTGTTGCCCACCACTCGCAGCTCCTCCTCCAGCTCGATGATCTTGCTGTAGATGGGGGGAAGGTGGCGGGTAGGGTCAGCCCGATTTTGCCGGTTTTTCCCATTTTTTTGGAAATCCAATTTTTAGGCTTGTGGTTTACGCATTAATAGACGCATCTAGCTAATATCTATGCAGTAATGGCTTAATTGTCCGGAAATCAATAATTTTTGCTTTAATTTTCGATGCTTGAAAAAGTGCTAAAAATCCACATAAAAATTTTAATTCTATTACTTATGAAAGATAAAAGGAATTTAAAGGAACTAGATATTCCGGTGTTTATTCTAATTTTAATAGATATTTTTAAGCTATGGAAAAAAACTGAATTTGAATAATTTTAGAAATTCTATATTTTCCAGCGAATTTAGGCAAATTTAAATAAACAATATGATGGTTCTAACCGCTAATTAGCCTTTTTCCAGACCTTGTGCAAAGAATGCTAATTTCTGGGCATTTCCAATATTTTTGGAATTTTTAGACAATTTTGTCCAATTTTAACAATTTGGCCTAATTTGCATACTAATATCAACATCGTAAAAAGGGCCTACTTCTCTCCGGCCTCAGCGCGCTCCTCGGCTCTCTCGAGATCGGCCTCAACCATGGCCAGCTTGCGGGCAACCTGAACATATGCAAATTAGGGACGTAAAACGCTAAATTTCGATAATTCCATTCCGCTCCACGCGACGCTATTTGTATCGGGACGGAATGCAATGTTTGGGGGAGACGAGACAAATTGGGCAGAAAAGAGATGAGAGATTTGGGGTTAATGATTGGGGGTTACGGCAGAAAATACACAGCATAATCAGTTAGGGGGTAAAAACCTATAAAATTTTTTTGTAAAATCGTTAAAAAATAAATTAAAACCACGATTTTTAAAATGGAAAAATTCAAAATGTCAAATCTGATTCTTTTGACAATAATTCGATTTTTTAGATTTTTCACAGTTTTTGCTAAAAGCTAAATTTAAATTCCCAACAATAAAAATTTTCTAAAATTCAAATTTAATCTTTGTAAGTTTAAATTTTGTATTTTTTAGTTGCTTAGAGGCATGCTAGCAGCGTTTATTTAGGAGTTTTAATTCTTTTTACGAGCCAATCCAAAAGCCAGCCAGCAAACTTCTTGTGAACCTCTCAAAAAATTTGAAATTCTATTCCTATGGCAAGCTAGCAGAGATTCTTGCGGAATCCGAGCAGCTGTCCTTCATGCGCGAATTCAGGCATGCAAAAACCACAAAGCTACAGGCTACAAACGCCAGACTACAATCGACATCGATGTCAACCTCATCGTATTTGCGGTCAGCCTCCTCGGCGAGCAGCTGGGCCTCCTTGAGCTGGCTCTCAATCGATCCGGCGCGTTCTTCGTCTTGGATCGCGCGGTTCTCCATCACCTTGCGCACGCTGCACAACAATTACGGTATATTTAGCCGTCTAGAGGAATGCCGCGGAACGGGCCTAGGGCGTACGGTAGGTGGGGGCGCGCGTTAGAAAACGTCAAAATTTGCCAAATACCTCCAAAATGTCCAAAAAAATCCGATTTTGAGGGTCGAACCAGAAAAAAATCGGATTAAAATTGAATTAACGAGTCAAATCCATTTTTTAACTAATCAAAACCATTTTTTCGGTTCTAAAAATCTATTTAAGCTAATTTGAAATGATTTATGCTATTTAACTTAGATTTAAAATTTTAAAGAAACCTGGAAGTTTCATTTTTTGTGGCTCTCAGCACGGCGTTGTAGCCAATTTCGAAAAAATGGGTTTTTGACTTCCCGGCCCCTTTAAACGCGCATTTTTCCTGCCCCCTAGGCCAGACTACAGAATATCAACTACAAAAACTCCACAGCCACCACTGTTTTTCTAAAATTGAAATTTGCTTATTTCAAAATCCCATTTTTTTACACCACTACCACCAACAACAAATGACGCTCAGGTTAGGCTACAAACTACAGACTACAAGCTACAACAATTATTTTTTTAGACGTTTTTTACATTTAGGTTGGATTTTAAGATTAGTATGGAATTTTAAAGGGAATTGAGAGAGTCAGAGAGGGTAGAGATCGGGGTTTTTGGGTTACGGTAGCCGGAAAATCGGAAAGTCCCGGAATTTTCGAATTTTTCGGATTGGATTTTTTTGACTTTTTGAAGCGAATTTACCATTTTTTGAAGCCTACGAGGCTACAATTTTGGGCTACCGTAACCCGGAAAATAGCAGAATTCTTGGATTTTCCAGGAAATTTGTCGATTAGTGGGGTATTATTGTCACCTCATCATGCTTCAGCTCGTTTCTGACAAAATCGCGAGCGTCTCCTTCATTTTGGCTTCGAGGAGGTCGACCCGGTCGCCATCCACATCCACAGATTTTCCAGCACTTTTCGGGCCCTGCGATCGGCACGCCATGCTTTTTTAGTATGATAGATTGTTAAATCGGGTCTTAAAGGCTTCTAAGGTACTTGGAAGTCATGGATAGCTTTCAAGACTTCATATTCCTTTAAACAGGCTGAATCCGGAGATGTTTGCCATCAATGGCCCTCTAAAAGGACCAGAAACCTTCAAAAATTGGTGAGTGGGTGTACGTGGGTGCAAACGGAACATTCAAGACATGCAACAATGGACGAGAAGGATGGACAAGGGATACGGTAGAAAATTTGCCTTAAAGGGAGCGTGACAGCAAGATTCGGCGAAAAAATTCGGAGCTATGGCAAGCTTAACCAAAGCTTAAAGGCTAAGACGCTATCACGACATAAAAGCTACGGCTATCGGACGCTTACGTATCGCTACGCAAAGCAACGCAACGTAACTGAGCGTAGCGTAACGCAGCGGAACGTAGAGAAACGTTCTGTAGCGCTACATAAACAAAGTCGCCACCCAGCATCACGTAGCACTACGCAACGCTACGCCAAGCTACAAACAACATAAAAGTGCGGACCTCTTCGTATTTGCGGTCGGCCTCCTCGGCGACGAGCTTGGCCTCATCGACTTGGACCTCGAGAACGTTGGCCCTCTCCTCATCCTGCTGATCGGGTCTCCATCGATTTGCGGGCCCTGTAGATGGACACGACATTTATTGGACAGTGGACAACTAGCAGGGGCTCTTTGGGGATCCTGGCGGAGACGGGTGGCGCCGAATTACGCTAACGTTAAAACGTTAAAAACGTTGTTTTTAGAGCAAAAATCCAGATTTTCTAGTTGTTCAGCAGGTCTTTCGTCTGTCGCTACAAAGTACACCTAATTACGGTGAAATCACGAAAGAATATTGTAATTTTGGAGGCTACAAAGTATGTTAAACACCTAATTTCATGAAAATCGTTTAAAAATTTCCCGATTTCGGCTATAACTACAGTATTTTTGATTTTTTTTTGTATGCTTCCGATACCGTACTATAGGCTACAAAATCAGGCTACAATTCCTAGGCTACAAACTCTGGCAGCACCCGCCTTCACCATATTCCAGACCCTTTTTTGCACGGACAGACAACACAACGGTGGACACGGTGGTATTTTTGTGTGTAAGCTAAGCCCAAGCCCAAGCTCAAGCTGTGCAAAAGCTGCCTCAAGTGGTGGCTGTGCAGCTCTTGCTCTTTTTCCTCCGCACCGCTCGCTCTCATCAACGGAATGGGTGGTCTCCTCGAGCTTCTCGGTGGCAATCTTCAGCTTCTCCTCAGCCCTCTCAGGTCCTCTTCAATTTGGATCATCCTCCTGTTGAGGGCTCCGACTTCGGACTCGCTCTGAAATTATGGGATGGCGGGGGTAGCGTACCGTTCGGCGGCATCAGCGGCCTGTGATGCTTCTTCGAGTTTGGCGGTGACGGTCTTCAGGCGATCCTCAGTCCTGTCCAGGTCCTCCTCCACAAGCACGATACGACGGTTCAGGGCGGCAACCTCGGCCTCGGCCTAGATGGAGCATGAGGTACGGTGGCTTGGTTGGTGGGTAGGAAAGGGTATCTGGGCTACAGGCTACGTTTAGAATTAGACTACAAATTACGAATTAAAATAAAAATTAAGAATTGAGCCCGATAAAATGTAAGTTTAAAAACCGATTACGGTAGTTGGGTCGGTAAATAAGGGGCTACAAACTACAAGCTACGAAACTTCTGAATTTCACGATGAATGTAAAAAATAAAGATACATTACTTTTGGTATCCTAATATATAGAAAAATTCTACAGTATCCGAAAATCCCCATAAAATACAGACTACGCGAGGTTACAAGCTACACCCCTTACGTCAAAAGTATCAACCCGGAATCCCCAGCACTCCTCAAAAATCTCCGTTTCTCTGTGAATGATTCCCATCGCCCGTCTCGGGCCCCATAAATGGCTGGTGTGTAATCCCATCGGCTTAGCCGATTCAACCGGGGGGCCAGGGGCGTTCGGGGGCCCGTTTTTTTGTACCCTAGGGCCCATAATCGGATCCCACCCGCCCTCGCATCCGGTGCACAATTCAGGAGGCCCCTCAAAGAAACACCTGGGCGATTTTTTGGGCAAAAAAAGGGAAAGTAAAGTTTGGCGCCCGGGAGGTTCGAACCCTGATCCTTAGATTCAGAGGCTAGATCACTAGCCACTAGGCCAAGTAAAAAATTCGGTTTTGAGGGTTTAGAGCTCAAATTATTAAAAAATTCTAATCATGAAAAAGACAATATGTATTAAACTTGTTACAACCCCTAAGATCAATAAAGCCCTGGAAAGCTAGCTTAAAAATGGAGAAAAACAAACAAAACAACAATTATTTATTGCTGTTTTTCGATGATGGGCGGTAAGTAAAATTCAGATTTAATGGGAAGAACATCGTCTACAACTCGACAAAGCCATTCCTTATAAAACCTTTAAAAATAGTTAGAAAACTATGAAAATTGATAAAAATTTTTTCCACAACCCAAAGTTCACCAATGTAAAGAGGCGTAGAACGTAAGAATGACAGTGGTATGATAGAGAGTAAGTGGTACTATAGATGATACCACATCTTCCCTCTTCTTCCTCTCCTCCTCCAGCTGTCTCTTTGACCTCATCGGCCTCATCCTTGGCGGCCTCGGCCTCCTCCCTGGCCTGTTCTTATCTTCTTCAGCACGTCCAAAAGGGACGTCTGCTGCGGGTCTTTGCCCAGCATCTTTGATGCCATCGCTGCTGTCTTGTAGATTCACCCCTTTGAGCCGGTACGGTGTTGCGGTAAGATACGGTAGGTGAAAGAGCATGGTTGAGAGAGTGAGGACATTAAATAGAGCGAAAGTAAAACATAATTTAGTACTATTTAAACCCAAGTTTCTGAAAAAGTTCGAAAAATCAATAAAATTCCCCGAGGGGCAGAGCTGTTATTCCCGCAAACGGCGCGATGTCGTAAATTCTGAGTCATCCCCGGGAGGGGTTCTAGGCCTTGAAAATAAGCAAATCAAGACGCGGATTAAATTTCTGGATCTAAAACTCGATCTCCGGGGCTGCAAGAATTAAAATTGAGCAAAAAGCAAAAACTTCGTCAGAAAGAGGATTCGAACCAGCACCACGAGATTTTGAGACAAAAGCACCAGCCACTCAGGCTGGCGCGCAACGTGATCAGCAAAGGATGAAACTCAGGGACCTAGTCCCTACACTAATGGACTGAAGCGTTCCGATCGACAGCAAAAAGTCGCGTGTGGGTGGTGGGCAATGTTCGAAGGGAAAGAGGGGCAAAAGCCTAGGGATTATGGCGGGGCAGGCCAGCTGGGGGGGAAAGCTGAATCAGCTGGGAGAAAAACACGGAATCAAGACGCCCAGGCCATTTTTGGATGGATACAAAAATTAGAAAAATGGCGACTTTAAAAATTTCTAATAAAAATTACCTAGAAAAATCAGCAAAGCCAGCCAGAAAAATATGCACGAAAAGACAGGTGAAAAGGCAACACTAAAACAGCCGATTTTCCCATATTTGAACATAACAAAAATTTATGAACATAAGCCTTAAAATCTGATTAAATTTCTATCAAAATCGAGAGAAAAGGTAAAAATCTTAAAAACCTCACATCGTTAAATTTAAGCCAAAAAAGTACAGGTGATCGATGCGGGGCGGAACCGCTTTGCTTTTACTCTGCCTGCTCATGGGGGTATATAGCGGGAAGGGCGAGAGAGAGAGAGAGAGAGAGAGAGAGAGAGAGAGACGCCCGAGAAACATTGCCAGCATACGTCTTAGCAGCGAAGGGGAGAAGCTTTCGGGATGCGGTGAAGGCCGATGGCAGAGCCGGGGGGGAGAAAAACTATGTAATCCCTGGTTTCTCTCTCTTCTTCTTCTCTCTCTCTCCTCACTCTCTCTCCGCTCACTGTCCTCTTTGCATGGTTAGATAAGCCGCAAAGGATAGACTAGTCAAAACAGCTAAAATTGGAGGGAAATCGGTGAGGAATTTGTGGAATTTATAATTTCTGGATGCTCAGGAGATCTGAAAATTATAGGCAGGCTGAAGTGAGGTGAGATCATTGAGGAGGAAATAACTTTTTTTAAGCGGACTAGCCAGCAGTGAAAATTCTAAGAATCTCCTCATTAATGGTAATCTAGGGTAGCTAGCAGAATTCTCGGAGGAACTGCCCAAAAATTTCCATTAATGGCCACACGGAAATGCAAAGGTGGAAGGGGCGGAGGGTATGTTGAGGTCCTTCAAGAGGGGGGAGGCTATTTGGGGTATGGGTGAATGGCGAGAGAGAGAGAGAGAGAGATAGAGAGAGAGCGAGAGACGTTGCGGGCTTCTTGATTGCCCTTTTCTCCGTCCGATTCCTTTCAACATATGGGGGACTCGGCCTGGACCGCCCTGAGGAGGGGCCCTCGACATGCAAATGACTCATGGCCTGAGGGTGGAGTGAGCGATATTGCACGCCAGCGGTTTTAAAGCGGTTTGTGAAGGCTGGGGTATGGATTTTTGAGTTTCCACATTTTTAAAATACGGTAGAATCCAAAACCTGAAAATGGATATACAGTAATTTTTAAACATGCTATGCTACTTAACAAGCGAAAATTTAGAATTTTTGATCGGCCGGTCCCTTTAAAATTATCGAATTAAGACTTTAAGCTCAAAAAAATGCGAATTTTCTGAATTTCCCCCAACTTTACAGTAACCCAAAAATCCAGATTTTTTGACTTGCCGCCCTTTAAAGCTCAAAAACCCACAGTAACCCTAAAAAAGAAGATTTTTTTAGTTTTCAAAGCCTCTTCCACCCGATTTTAGCTCGTTCAGGCCAGGCCGCCAGCTGTGTGTGTGCTGTTGGGGGTGTTTTTAGAGACCACTGGAATGGAAATGTGCCCCTTCCTTTTCTATTCATTCCAACTATGTCCATTTCTCGGGGGGTGAAGAGGGGGGTTGGGGGAAATGCATTGAGTAGCCATGCGTAGTCGACGCCCCATAATTTACCAGGGTGATTAAAGGGATTGGCAAGTCGGTAACTTGCATTTTTGAGGCTATGGCAGAAACTTAACCATTTTAATTGCATCGAAACGGCAAAAAAATCTTTTTTTTTGGATGATGTTACGAATTTGGCGTGTTTTAAAGGAACCGGCAAGTCAGAAATTTGACTTTTAAGTGTGTTTAAGGACTTTTAAGGGGGCAGGAAAGAAAAGTAGAATTCTAAAGGGGCTCCCAAGCCAGAAAAATATTAAGAAACATAAATTAGATTGGATTTGGGGCTACAGTACCCCGGGAAAAATACTAACAAGGAGACGTTTTAGTGTCGTCGGGACTTTTGGCACGGGACCAAGCCTATCTTGTGCAGAATTTTGCGCTGATTCGAATATATGGTAACCGTTTTACCCGGAATAGCC